AACAAGATTTTTCGCAACAGGTTTGTTGTAAACTTGCAACCAATCAAAATCCTTCATGATGCTGATCAACCAATCAGATTTCCCGTCCACCAGGTGGACGGGAATCTCACACTTTAGATAGGTTTTGTGTCAGGCCCTATTCTGTGATTAGGGCCTGAACTTCAGGTTAATCGAAGGGAAGATGGCTGTGAAACTCATTAGAATAACAATATAACTCATTATCTATGTTAGTCAACGTTTATTCATAAATTTGATCCTTCACCGTCACGTGCGTATTGTATTTTTGCCCAACTAACCAATAGCAATGTTTTAGGAAAGTTACCTATCCGTGACTCGAACAATAGGGTAAATTGAAAATTGCTATTGGTGGACTTGGCAAAAATACAATACGCACGTGACGGTGAAGGATCAGATTTATGAATAAACGTTGACTAACATAGATAGTGAGTTGCATTGTTATTCTAATGAGTTTCATGCACATCTTCCCTTCGATAGGCGCTGTTCCAACTGAAAGCACTTCTCTCACATAGAGGTAAAATTATAATCAGACATCTGCATTTTGCAGGCATCAAACTGCGCTAACTAACCAGGCACGAATAACGTCAAGCTATGCTTACCTCGATTCCAGTGAGTTCATTTTTACAACCATCCCATATAGACAATTGGCATGTGATCCTCGGATCACAGTCGACATTGATCGGAACTTGTCGGATATTCTCGTCGACATGTCCGACACCATCTTTTCGGAAACAGAACTTTCCTCTCCGGGTTCCTTTGGAGATCACATCCATTGCAGGCCCACCTGAGCGATGACATTTAGCGGTAGGGATTGGGTCACTGCAATGACAGTTCATATTAGGGTTCCCGCCACTGACCTTCAGTTTGACACAACTGTAGTATGGTTCTTTGATGTTGCCAACCAATGAGATCCATTGTAAGACATAGACACCGTCTTTTAGGTTGTAGGGAATTGTGAGAGTCGTATCGTATCGTTCAACGTCTTCCTTTTCTATATATGAAGAAATTATAGGTTTGATATTAAATTCGGGGTCCGATTCCGATTACAATTTTGGCTCAGAAGCCTGCGAGTAAAGTGCTTCCAATTCGATTCTTCCAAACACCATAAGAGATGGTTCTTACTGGACCTCCAGGGAGAAGAGTTTAAAACTAATTGAGCTATCTAGTATAAACAAAGTTTGTTTAGTTTCGCATTCGTCCTGTAGTAACACAGAATCAAAAATTTGGTTCAATAAGCAATCAATCTCATTTACATGGCCTTTTCTATCCAAACGCGGAAGTAAAATGCCCTTGGTACGACGTAGACACGACAAGACACAACACACGAGACACAACACACGAGACACAACACACGAGACACAACACACGAAACACAACACACGAGACACAACACACGAGACACAACACACGAGACACAACACACGAAACACAACACACGAGACACAACACACGAGACACAACACACAAGACAACACGATACGACAAGACAAGACAAGACAAGACAACGCAACACAAGGTAGAGTAAGGCGAGATCAATGATATAGTTCTAATGTTTCCATGACATACCAGACTGATATTCGCACCCAGGTCTTGCATTACAAGGATGTTTGCAGTCACCATATGCATAGCGACCAGGTCGTTGATCATGCCCGTAACACGTGAACTTCAGGACATTTTTCTTGTACGCTTCACGGTTGTTGACCTCAGACTCCGGGACCAAGGCAAGACGGACGTAGCCACCTCCGTGGTTATTGGACGTCCAGCCAACCTAAAATAAGCATGCCTTAATACATTGATATCGAAGGAACCAGACTCAGTTCCGAAGTATCACCAATTGATTCGAACCGACTTGACCTCGTAGCTCAGTTGGTATAGAGCATTGGACTAGTATCCCAAAGGTCGCGAGTTCGATTCCAACCGTGGTCGGGCAAACTTTTCAGCTTGCCCGGTGTATCGGATGCACACTCAGAGTAACACCACAAACATCACATTCACCTGTGTACATAACACTAACACACACAAAAAATATCCTTTCTACTTGTCGCTTATTCTGTACTTTGATCAGACTGTTTTTCTAGAGGCTCCTCTTCCCAGGACTATTCCCATTTGTTATTGAAAGATAGTGTTACAATAGACGAAAACCTAAACCAAACTAATTGTATTTATATGAATAGCTCTATAAGTTCTAAACTGCTGTTCTTAGGGCAGTTTATAATATGGTCCCGCTTACCCGCGGGATACAATGAAGTGTGAAGTATATATTTTGAGCAATTGAAATAAGTCGCACTTCATGATCTAACAAAATTGCTCGTTACAAATTGTATGAAATTCCATGTTTTAGACAAAAAAAAATGTTGTTGAATGCTATTAATCTTCCACTACATAACTTCTAGCACGTTCCTAATTTCGTTTCAACAATATTTAAAGTTATCTAACTTTTGTTTAGGGCTCATTTTCAATTGCTCAAAATAATTCACACTTTCCACTTCAATCGTACCGAAACGTTGCGTATTTCTTTGTTTCTTCAGTGGTATAGTGTGGAACTAATGACTTCGACGCAAAAGAAAATGCTACGGTACGTTACAATTATTGAAGTGGAAAACAGGCTTTAGTGATCCAGAAAAGGCCACCCTTTCTCGGTTCAAGCTTATTACTGAAAGAATCTGAACTATAAAGGAACTTTTACACTGTATTGGTTTATCTATCACTTGTAAACTGTTTTTCCTAGAGATTTAGTGAGGCCGGGCCATTGCGAACACAACTTGTTGACGCTTGTTGGCAGACTTGTTGCCTACCTTTATTCTATCTCCAGCCTTGACGGGATTCACAACACCATGATACCATTTTTCACAGGGTCCAACTTGATTGCCACCGCGGTAAGGACTGGGATCGAATGATCTGAATAAAAGAGGATGATTGTTTTGTAGGAAGTTTTTTTTTATTTAATATTGATTTGAAAAAATAGGTCGAGGCTCTTTATATTGTTTGGGAAGGTTGTTCCACAATTTCTTTGTTAGCAATTAAATTCATTTGAGAAGTCAAGTTAGGTGATTCAGAACCAGCTATAACAGAAAAAGGTTCGCTATGATACCTTGGACAACTGACCCACGAATGAGATTCAGCCTCATTGAAAAGCACCACGAAAAGCAGCAGAATAACTCTCTTGTGAAACGCCATGTTCTTTGTTTCATACCACAGACAGACTGCAAAAAAGATCTTCCTCGTCTTGAGCAAATAGATCGCACACCAAGCTGAAACAATATTTAGCTCAACAAAACGGATAAACAGAAAGGATAAATAAGCTGATTCAATTCAGGTCATCTGTGTTTGCAGACGGGTGATAGGTGCATGATGGATAACATGTATTTAAGCTATACTGTTACAGGGTGACAAAAAAATGCAATAGCCTTGTTCCAGATTTCGACATCGAAAATTCAATCTAAGAGATGATTTTTGACACTAAAGCCCTGGGCAAACTAGGAAACATTGTTGTGGCTGGAAACATTGTTGTGGCCGGAAACATTGTTTCCTGCCAATGTTTCGCCATGTTTCCCAGAGTGGGCAAATACTAGGAAACATTAGTGAGAAACATAGGGAAACATCAAATGTTTCTGAATTTGGTAGGAAACATTCTTGCTTCTCGGGAAGCAAATTTTGTTTCCGCAACAATGTTTCCACGGGTGGGCAAACAGGGAAACATTTGAGGAAACATCGATCGAGAATCACAAATGTTTCCACAACAATCAATGTTTCCTATAGTTTGCCCAGGGTTTAAGTCAAAGATTATTAAAATTGGTCAGTAGAACTATAATGTTATGGTTGTTTAAAGCTACGGCATAGACCTTTCCCCTTTTGAGTGAAATTTTGATCTAGACAAGTCTGGACAAAAATTTCATCACAGCTTGAAAGAGCATCACAAAATTAGTAATATTCCGAAGTTTCGTTGCGAAATGTTGTGAAATGCGGATAATATAGCCTTGCGAAGTTTGCCGTTTTTCAGTCATTTGGTATTACAAACGCGGGAAATTGATAATCAGATGATCAAACTGATGCAAAATGTTAGATTGTAATGCAAAATGACTGAAAAACGGCAAACTTCGCAAGGCTATATTATCCGCATTTTACAACATTTCGCAACGAAACTTCGGAATATTACTAATTTTGTGATGCTCTTTCAAGCTGTGATGAAATTGTTGCCGAGGCATATCTAGATCAAAATTTCACTCATAAGGGGAAAGGTCTATTGGAGGATTTGAAATGACGTCCCATACGAATAAATCACTGCTTAATTAACTTCACCAGGTATCCATGCAGTATTATCATGTGGGCAAAATAAAGCAATATGTTTGGCTAATTTACTCATGAATTATTAATGAGTTTGAGATATTGTGCAACATGTATGTTGTGTTAAATATTAATCGGTTTTATGACTCCTCACTTAGAATTAAACAGTCATAACATTGGTTATACTAGACCAATTTTTATCTTAAAGTTTGTGTCAAAATTGATCACTCAGATTGAATTTAGCTGCATGTAAAAATCTGAAGCACAACTCTTGTATTTTTGGGGCACTCTCTATAATAAGTATAGCAATTTAGACTTAACGTATTTACTCGATTGAGCGCCGCCCCCGATTGAGCGCCGCCCCCGAATGAGCGCCGCATTTGAGATCAATTTTTTTTAGAGCGCCGCCCCCAAATGAGCGCCGCACTAAACAGTGTAAAAACTTTCCGCGTCAAAATTGGGACATTTAGTGACAAAACCTTTTAAAACTTGTCTATGTTATAGCTAAAAGTTCTTGTCATAATTCACAAATAAAACACTTTTTAAAGAGCGCCGCGCCCGATTGAGCGCCTTTTTGATAGGATTTATCCAGTCTATTATGAGATCAGTTCATGAAACTGTATTTTGCTTCACACAGAAGTCGAAATGTGCTAGAACAAAAAATTATTTTAAAAACTCAATAATTCATGAGGAAGACAAAGGAAATCGCTACCGTGTCGGTGCTTTCATATGTAATAAACTTTAGCTTTGATTTTCTCGGATTAGACAACGTTGATTTTTAAAATCACTTCGCCAATGAACTCATAAGATGGGTCGTCTTTTAAGCCTGTCGCCCCGTGTTTTGTATATCTGATAAAACACTGCTGCTCGTGTTTTAAACAGTACTTAATGGACAGTTCTTTCTACTCTGAATGCCATTATGAAACATTTGTTTAGGCTGAATAGATAGAGAATTCGACACATTTCAGATTTACATGATATTGTAGAAATAGCTAATTAAACATGCCACAATTTCAACGTGAGGTATAAGTTATCTTTAATTCATGAGAAATGTACATTATCTGTTAACTGGAACAGTTCGTCTAGAAAACTAGCTTTGTAACTATCTTTAAAGTGTCTTATACATACAGTTATATATTTTCATAAAACATTTCATTTTTCAATTAGCATCTCGTTCATAAGTTATATATACTTATAACTATATATGTTATATACAATATACAACAATTGAAGAATATAGCATTATAGATAAATAACAACCAACTATAATTACAATCAGTATCAGCATTTGGGATGTTACGCTGAGACGTTAATACAGGGGATTATGCAGCTGTCTGCTAAATTTTAAGCAATATTTGAACAGCAAAACATAACATAGCTATATACTGTGAAGTATGCATGGTATACAAATTTTTTAGAGATTGCTAGATCTTATTTGCAAATTATTCGCCAGGATGGAACGTTGAATTTCGTTCAAAGTATTTGAAAACTATATTGTCAATGGATGCTTCAACAAACTTGTCCCTAGAGGCAAGGAAAAGACAAAATATGTAAAACAACTGTCGAGTACTTAACTAATACACTCTAAAAACACCCTCATGGTTAAAAACACTGTTTGAGGTTACTTAAAGTTGAAGTCAAGTCCGTTCTGCGCATCGGTTCTGCTCATAACAATGTGAGGACCTCTAATGTGAAAATTGTCCAAATTTCGAATGTTTCGAATTTTTCTGAACATAAACTCTATTTCATATTCATTTAGAAGCATAGCGAACCAAAATAGTGTTAGATATTCAGACAGTACATCATATTTTAAAAAATACAGCAGCTCAAAATGTAAACAAACCGTTTGTTTACATTACGGACTTGACTTCCCCTTTAATGTTCGTGGTTAAATATTCTGGTTAAAAGACATTGGCAATATAAAATTAGTTTGTCTCATTCAAAAGAACTCTTAAAATTATATATTAAACTCTTTTACCGATTTATCATATCTTACTTAATTCTCGAAATATTTAGACCGAAATTAATGTCCGCCATCTTGGACAAATTCTTGACCTCATTAACTATGGTTTTGATGACGTCAGGAGTTGGGTTAACCATATAAATTATAAAACTACTCTAAAATGACCGAGTAACAATCCAAAATTGTTTGAAATGTTTTTAATAATTTCTAAATTTCAGACAGCAACCAGAAACGAAGTTTTGGACCCATATTGATCGTTTACACTCAAGATAAAAAATTAGCGTGACCCCTCTCTTGACGTAACATGAATATCCTCAATAATCCAAGATGGCGAACAGCTTCACTTTTTTCAGTCGAAATATTTTGAAAATTAAGCAAGATATCAACAATCTGTAATAGAGTTTAATATATAGTTTTAAGAGTTCTTTCAAAAGAACTGAACTAATTTTTTATTACCAATGTCCTTTAATTTGACCACAGTCCTGGTTATAACCAAACTACACGAGACCTACCTTTAAAACCTTGTTCAGGCTGTCTTGAAGCTAAAAGCATAAATATATAGTAAACAGTGATAGGAGAAATTGTTATTGGGCATTCTATCAGATTACCGAGAAGCAGACAGGCAAATTAGTTTTTTAATTGTTTCCCTTGTAATCTGTATTAAAAATTCGTGAAAAAAACCCCCAAAGAAAATCGTCATGGTCAATATCTCAGGTACAAAATCCCACTAATTTGCTTTCATTTGAAGAACATATTGTACATGAAACTCGTTTTTGCTTCGCATATTAAGGGTGTTCATTATTTACGGTTGGGGGGGGGGGGCGGTAAAATCATAGGAGGGGGCAAAAACAGTTTGGTGTTTGCTTTTGGGGGGGTCACCAGAGTTTGAGGAGTAATTGGGGTGGGGGTCATGAAAGTTTTAGTTCTGTCAATGTTTTGACCTCTTTAAAATATGTTATTATAGAACATGAAAATTGTGAATTATTAAATGCCTACATGTTTACAGGAGGTTTTGCACTTATGCTATAACGTCATGAAATAAAGACTTTTAATTGTTTAACTGATATTGTACATGCCATATTTATATACTTGTACTCGTCTTACCTCAACAGGTTGCCAAAACACTCTGTTTCATCCAAGAGGAATCATTGCAACCTTTTTGAGGTGAGACGATTATTTCTGCTCTATCTATATGATATCGAGCATTCTTTGGCATTTTGTGAACCAAATCACATTCGTATACACTTATACTGTATTTTATTTAAAATGGGGAGGGGGGGTCACAAAAGTTTTTGGTCTTTTCTTGAGGCGGGGGGGGGGGGCATGTGAGAACTGTTGCCAGAGGGGGGTGATGTAGCTCATAAAAAATTAACACTCCCTAAAATACCTCGAGCTAGTTCTTCTTGCGCGATTCCGTCCTGCGGTTCATCCACCTTAATAAAAAGTCACAAGATCTATATTTTAGACTCAATACGGTTTAATTAAACTGTTCCCGTGATATTTCAGCCTTCTTAATAGCCCTAAAAGGGAATACAAATACTAACTTTCAATAATAATACACTCCCAGGCCTCACGCCCGCAGCGCCCAAAGTACTATCATCTTCTAACTTCTTGCCATCCACACTGAGATGTTGATCCAACGGCATCACGGAAAACAATTTCATTAACTACATGAAAAATATAAAGGTTCAATCCAGTGGCAGTTCAATATAAAGTATAGAGCTTGAGATCTCCCCAGTAACACTGCGTGAGTGCCACATTTGACTGCCCAGGCTTTATGAATTATGTTGAACACTGTACGAAACATATAAATATCTAAAAAGCAGCAAGTAGTATATAGGGCCAAAAAAAAATATGTGGGTTTCCGGTTTCTTCTTATAAAAACTTAGGTAGGGTAGGTCGGTTTTAACTTTTTTTTTTAAACTTTTTTTAAATTTTCCTAACAATCGGACGCCATTTTGTTTAGTCAGTGCTTCCACATCCAAAGGTAAATTTCCCGAATATTGCCTCAAATTTCAATTTTCGAGTGGAAACACTTACAAGCATGATCCAATAAAAAAGTTTAGGGTCGGGATTTCGACGTCCAAAAGCTAGGTAGGGTCGGGAAACCCAGATTTTTTTGGCCTAGTGTATGTACCTCTAACTTTATATCGCGCACGGTCTCCGACGAGTCCACCGTTATCACAACTTCGCCTCTCTGTTTACGATGTCTAGTCGATAAAAGAAAAATAAATACATGAAAGAAAGATAGAATATTTGAAAACTCACTGACGATGCGTTCATTTCACCATGGATCACGCATAAACGGCATAATGACCACCGCAGTAATTGCCAAACGTTGTACAATGTTGTATGAAAAGTTTAAGCAAAGTCAAAGTCGATCCAGCATCAGTGGCGGACACTTCACGAAATATTGAGGGGCTTCAACAGGGGGTTTCGGTGTCCGTTTAAGGCTCTAAGTTATGCGAATCTTTCAGAACATGGCTCACTTGCCCCGAGTTGTGGCATTTGATTGACATTAGATACTTTTTCTAAGATAATCAATTAATCATGTCGATTAGCGTTGTTGTTTAATGTATAGTTATAACTATCAATTCTGATTGTTTAAAATATTTTATCAGCAGAGCTGTAAGGAATCTTACACAGAACAAAACAGATTGTATAAAATGTGTATGTTGTGGCATCAATGGCTAGCAAGCAATATATGATTCTGTACAATGCCATTGCTAACTTTAGCTTAAGTTTTATTTAATAGTCATTACGTAATATGACAATTACGTTATATGGGTGTGATTGCATGCTTGCCACTTGCTCCTAAACAATCTTTGTGCATTGTGATATTTGGTACAAGACTTTTATAGGTCTTTCAAAATTATTGGGGGGGCGGGCGCTTGTTTGAACTTACCTCGAACTCCGCCGTCTATAATCACCTGCCGTTCTTGGAGTGTTGCCTGCAATAAACTAAGAGAAATTTAAAGTAACATTAATACAAACAAGTGCTGTGATCGATACGTTAGTACCTTACTCAAGACAAGAATTTCAGAGATGGACCCAGGTAGATCTAGCACTACAGTGAAGTGGACTGGGACACAGGCTAAGGTAGATCTGGTAAACGGGGGAGGGGCGGAGGTGCCCGTGGAGCTTTGGTCATCGTCCAGAGAACGACCGTTGAAGCACGGCAGTAGTCTAGCTTGACAATTTTAGAGTCATGTTACTATCTCATTTTTATCTTTATTTTATTTTTGTTTTTGAAGTTGCCTAGTTTCTGAATAAAAAAAAATTTATAAGGAAATTGCCAGTATACTCTTCCCTGAAGAATTTGATTTGTTACAGGCATTACATAGTTCATTAATTCACTTTTTTTCATTCTATAATTATGTGCATGGGTATACTATCTTCCTGAAATAACCATAAAGGTTAGATGAATCAGGTCGACAAATCTGTACTGGATAGATTATATACAAATCCAAACCTGAATTGACTTGTCGCAAAGCTGACCGTTTTCTTCATTGCTATTTTCCACAGGACTGTAGCTCTGTAACAAACATGTCAAAATGAATCAACTACGTTAACAGGCTGTGCTGTGTTGTGCTAAATAGGTTAAAGACATTTCTAAAGGTTTGAATCGTGCAAATCATTAAAAATTTGCATAGCACGACCTGGTGCTATGGCTAGCTTCGCCACTGAGCAACGACGTATAAAGCCGGTTTTCCACTTCAAGCGTACCGTATCGAAACGTATCAAAAACGTTTTAAAATTTCGTGAATGTTGATTGGTTAGTACTTCCGTAGTACGCCAAAAAGTTGACTTGCGACGAACGTTTTATTTTGATACGCGAATACACCCGGAAGTACGTCGATTTATAAACCTGTTTTAAATCTGCGCATCCTCACCAGTACGTTTCGGTACGATACGGGCGAAGTGGAAAACCGGCTTAAGGCCCGTGTACTGTACCTCGAGAATAGCTTGTATATCATCCGTACTGTGTTCTACAGTAATCTTGCGCACATAGATATTGGCATTTTCATACATTTCGCCCTCAGTGAAATGTTCAGCAACCAATGCAGCATTACATTCTACACAACAATCTAACGAGAAAAATCCTTTTAGGGTCTGATCATGTGAGTTTGGTTAACCGGGGAACTCCCCTGAATGAGATATGCCACTCAAGGCATTTACCTTTCTGAATTCGTATATTAAGCAAGTCAACTAGAGCTATACCGAAGCAAACCTGTGAGATTTTGACGGCTATACAATGCATGCTGTGTATGTTTTATGTACACACGTAAAAATCTCACATCTTATAGCAAGTCTGCCAACAAGCCGTCAACAAGTTGTGTTCGCACTGCTTTTTCCAAGTTGTCAACAAGTTTGGAAACAAGCTGTTAACAACTTGTTGATATTATCAGACTTGTTGCAAGATTGTTCCAACAAGTCCGATGTTCTTGTCAACCTTGTAACATTCTTGTTATATCATGACTGTATCTGATTTGTTAGAACAACCCATTGAACTATAAATAAACTGGAAGGCTAACTCAGGGGGGGAAATTGAAGCCAGTGCATTTTAGTTTTTCTGAGTTATGAGCAGAAATACTCAACACTGAACGTTGGGCTATATATCAAATTGAAGCTATTGAAAAACGCTATTTGGTGTAGAAATTTCAAGACTTTAGCTAAAAGGGAAATATTGAAAAACTACAAACATAATTACCGATAATCTTGCCGTTTTGCAGTTGTTTTTGTATTTTTTAAATATTTTTCTTTTCGCTGAAGTCTTGAAATTTCCACACCGAATAGCAATTTTCAATAGCTTCAATTTGATATATAGCTTGACGTTTGGGGTCAAGTATTTCTGCTCATAACTCAGAAAAACTATTTTGGCTTCATCAAATCATAGGCCTTCATCACAGCAGTTAGCCTTCCAATTTATTTATAGTTCAATGGAACAACCTTGTCACAAGTATGATGTCATCAAACGTGTTACAAGTTGTTAACAGCTTGTTCCAAACTTGTTCCAACAACTGGGAACAAGCAGTGCGAACACAACTTGTCGACAGCTTGTGAACAGAGTTGTAACAACTTGTTTGCAGACCTGTAACAATTTGTGCGTTGTTACGTGGGTATCTTTTTAAATATTTGCCACTCAAAATGGTGGAAGTCAAACGATGACGTCGATTGATGTGTTGTGACGTCACTTGCAAGGGCTGAACAGGGAAAAAAGCTTAAAACTTATAAAGTTATCAGTATCTAGATAGTGTTAGTTTTTTTTTCCTTCTTTTGGTAGCAACACTGCATGGACTAACAAGAAAGGGGCTTACTTCTTTCATATATATACTAAAACTGTCTGTACCAGTGTGGGTAGTACCAATGTGAAAATGCTGTGCTGAGTGGTTATATTACTACCTTAAAAAATAAGCAGAAACTCGACTTCGCTCGAAACGTCGAGTTTCTGCTTATTTTTTAAGGTAGTAATATAACCACTCAGCACAGCTTACTTCTTTCAATCTTTATACAAACCTGGAGTGATCGAGTACATACAATTTTCTTCAAAGACTTCGCTAACTATTTTTATTTCCACATCAAAACCAAATGTCTGACTCAACACTTCCCATTCCATGCCCCAGATATACACTAAACTAAGAAGAAAAACAAATATAAACAGCCAATATTCTTGAGCAACAAAATAGTTGCCTTAATCATATTGCCATCTTCGGTTTCCTCCAGTATAGTAACATTGGATAAAAAAAGATGGCACTTACTTGAACTCTAGGAATAACAGTTTAGAATTGAAACTAGTTAGCATAAATAAGTTAGATATAAGGTAGGAAACCTTCCTCCAGTATTTAGAATTCTTCTCCCTCGCTGTACCTCTAAGGAAAGCAGTTTAGACAGAATTGATGGAGCTATCCAGTGCAAATATATAGCTAGTTTAGTTTCACTCCTACGTACAATAACACAATAGATGTTGTTAAGGTGTTAAACTCAGGTGTTTATTTTTTGTTTTTGATGTTACTCTGAGTTTCTCCACAAGAAGCTACTGTTCAGCTTCCCCCAGAAACCCTTAAGATTGATGTTAAACTTTCTATTTCAAACCCAGGGATCGAAATAGCGGGCTGCCAATGACCAAAAGCATGCCATATTTTAGAAATGGCAGGCAAAAACAAATTTGAACTGCCAAAGTAAAAAAAAATGGCAGGTGAAATTCTATAGATATATTCCATTTCATTTGCTTACCACAACTCATATATGCTATGGATCATTTAGTTAACTAAATACGTTTATATTTCAAATATAAATCAAAGTTTACTGTAGGAAGTTTAAAATAATAAAAATGCATATCATGAAAACATTGATTTTTACAATACCTAGGACTCATACGAAACATCGCCATTTTGGCAGTTCAATGAATAAAAATGGCTAAAAAATTATTTCACCTGCCAAACAATTTTAGACTGGCAGGCCATATTTATTACTTCGAGCCCCGATTCAAACCTCAAACTGTACACACGCAAAAATCTCACACCTTCTAGCAAGTCTGTCAACAAGCCGTCAAAACGTTGTCTTCGCACTGGTTAACAACTCGTAACAACCCCGATGCCATTATCAGGCTTGTTACAAGGTTGTTCCAACAAGTCCGATACAGTCATGATATAGCAATATTGTTACAACCTTGTGTCGTCAACCTTGTAACATTCTTGTTTATCATGATTCTATCAGACTTGTTAGAAAAACCTTGCGACAATGCCATCAAGCTTGTTGCAAGTAGTTAACAGCTTGTTCCAAACTTGTTACAACAACTTGGAACAAGCAGTGCGAAGACAACTTGTTGAAGATCAAGATCTTGTTGGTTATACACGAAGGACGAGTGCGTCGGCCAAAAGTAGTCCTGAAATAGATACAGCATGTAATTAATGTAAATACGTCAAAATACATTGCCTTTTTGTAGGAGAAATGGGTTCAAATAGTTTGTTCCCGTAGTAACACTGGGTCCATAAGAAATAGCCCTTACAGGCACTCTGCGGAAAACAGTTTCACTTGTGACAATGCTGTCCCAACAACTTTTCAACATGTCTCCTCAATAGGTTTGTAGCAAGCTTGTTAAAAGATGTAGCAACTTGTCAACAAGATTTTTCGCAACAGGTTTGTAGAAAGCCTGTAAACAAGTTGTGACAATGCAGTTCCAACAACTTGTCAACAAGATGTCTCCTCAACAGCCTTGTAGCAAGCTTGTTAACAAGTTGTGAATGAACAGCCTTGTAGCAAGCTTGTTAACAAGTACGTTGTGACAATGCTGTTTCAACAACTTGTCAACAAGATGTCTCCTTAACAGGCTGGAAGCAAGCTTGTTAACAAGTTGTCACAATGCTGTTCCAACAACTTGTCAACAAGATTTTTCGCAACAGCCTTGTAGCAAGCTTGTTAACAAGTTGTGACAATGCTGTTCCAACAACTTGTCAACAAGATGTCTCCTCAACAGCCTTGTAGCAAGCTTGTTAACAAGTTGTGACAATGCTGTTCCATCAACTTGTCAACAAGATTTTTCGCAACAGCCTTGTAGCAAGCTTGTTAACAAGTTGTGACAATGCTGTTTCAACAACTTGTCAACAAGATTTTTCGCAACAGCCTTGTAGCAAGCTTGTTAACAAGTTGTGACAATGCTGTTTCAACAACTTGTCAACAAGATTTTTCGCAACAGCCTTGTAGCAAGCTTGTTAACAAGTTGTGACAATGCTGTTCCATCAACTTCCCAACAAGATGTCTCCTCAACAGGCTTGTAGCAAGCTTGTTAACAAGTTGTGGCAATGCTGTTCCATCAACTTGTCAACAAGATTTTTTCGCAACAGCCTTGTAGCAAGCTTGTTAACAAGTTGTGACAATGCTGTTCCAACAACTTGTCAACACGATATCTTCTCAACGGGTTTGTAGCAAGCTTGTTAACAAGTTGTGACAATGCTGCTCCAACAAATTGTCTACAACATCTTTCCTCAACAGGCTTGTAGCAAGCTTGTTAACAAGTTGTGACAATGCTGTTCCAACAACTTGTCAACAAGATATCTGCTCATCGGATTGTAGCAAGCTTGTTAACAAGTTGTGACAATGCTGCTCCAACAAATTGTCAACAACATTTTTCCTCAACAGGCTTGTAGCAAGCTTGTTAACAAGTTGCGACAATGCTGCTCCAACAAATTGTCAACACGATATCTTCTCAACGGGTTTGTAGGAAGCTTGTTAACAAGTTCTGACAATGCTGCTCCAACAACTTGTCATCAAGATTTTTCCTCAACAGGCTTGTAGCAAGCTTGTTAACAAGTTGTGACAATGCTGTTCCAACAACTTGTCAACAAGATTTTTCCTCGACAGGCTTGTAGCAAGCTTGTTAACAAGTTGTGACAATGCTGTTCCAACAACTTGTCAACAAGATTTTTCCTCAACAGGCTTGTAGCAAGCTTGTTAACAAGTTGAGACAATGCTGTTCCAACAAATTGTCAACAAGATTTTTCCTCAACAGGCTTGTAGCAAGCTTGTTAACAAGTTGTGACAATGCTGTTCCAACAACTTGTCAACACGATATCTTCTCAACGGGTTTGTAGCAAGCTTGTTAACAAGTTGTGACAATGCTGTTCCAACAACTTGTCAACACGATATCTTCTCAACGGGTTTGTAGCAAGCTTGTTAACAAGTTGTGACAATGCTGTTCCAACAACTTGTCAACAAGATTTTTCCTCGACAGGCTTGTAGCAAGCTTGTTAACAAGTTGAGACAATGCTGCTCCAACAAATTGTCAACACGATATCTTCTCAACGGGTTTGTAGCAAGCTTGTTAACAAGTTCTGACAATGCTGCTCCAACAACTTGTCAACAAGATTTTTCCTCAACAGGTTTGTAGCAAGCTTGTTAACAAGTTGTGACAATGCTGTTCCAACAACTTGTCACACGATATATCCTCAACGGGCTTGTAGCAAGCTTGTTAACAAGTTGTGACAATGCTGTTCCAACAACTTGTCAACAAGATATTTCCTCAACGGGCTTGTAGCAAGCTTGTTAACAAGTTGTGACAATGCTGTTCCAACAACTTGTCAACAAGATATATCCTCAACGTGTTTGTAGCTTGTTAACAAGTTGTGAGAATGCTGTTCCAACAACTTGTCAACACGATCTCTCCTCGACGGGTTTGTAAGAAGCTTGTTAACATGTTGTGACAATGCTGTTCCAACAACTTTCCAACAACTTGTCAACAAGATGTCTCCTCAACTGGCTTGTAGCAAGCTTGTTAACAAGTTGTGACAATGCTATTCCAACAACTTGTCAACAAGATTTTCCTCAACAGGCTTGCAGCAAGCTTGTTATCAAGTTGTGACAATGCTGTTCCAACAACTTGTCAACAAGATGTCTCCTCAACAGGCTTGTAGCAAGATTGTTAACAAGTTGTGACAATGCTGTTCCAACAACTTTTCAACAAAATGTCTCCTCAACAGGC